GCGACCTTGTGCGCACCATTTTCGCACCTCTTACACAACATGGCGGATGGCGGGAGGTTTGGATCCAAAAATGGCGCGGCTTGCCAGCCGCTCTCCGCGTAATGGGGTTCACGACCGCGGAATGTGAGCATGTTAGGTTCTGGCAAGGCACCGTGTTAACGGTGAAACGCGGAATGCGGGACCGCGTAATGTGAGGATTGACTGTACTGTACAGTAAACATTACACAAAATTATGTAGATTTGGTCATATCTATAATCATGGACTATAGGGTTTGTCATAAAGGAGGTCCCTGGGTCAAGTACGTCCTACTTATGAACGTCTGCCGATATGAATGGGGTCCCATAAAGTTAAACTTTAAATTTACAGTATTTTATTTTCCTGATGACTTATTTATTCTTTCATTTACTGTATTTTGTCATTCTATTTCTTCTTTTGTCTTAAATTAAGTTATTTTACATGTATACAATCAATATAAGGACTTAGGCTATGATATAGTGGGATTTTAAACATTGTTCTATAAGTACGGTGTGCACATAGGGTATGCGTTTCAACTTGCATACATTTTTGACTTAAGAATGTCCCCAGGAATCTTACTTTTAACTTTGGTCATCCTCACCACTGATCGGCTCGTTAGCCGCTTGGACGGTCGGTCACATCTGTTACACACTGTTGGCAAGTACTGGGTATGCACTACCTCCTGAATGTATCTGAACCTGCTCCAGTGTTTGTCAAGTCTGGTCTTAAAAGAGCTCACACTCTCTGGCAGGTAGTTCCAAGAGTTCACAATTCTCACACCGAAAAAGTTTGCCCTCACAGTTTTCTGGACTTAAGGCTTTTTCAACCTTGAGCTGTGACCCCTTGTGGGACGGGCATCTACCAGCTCCAAGTATGGACTGAGAAGTACCCTCCGAGAAGTTTGTACATCTCAATTAGGTCCTCCCTTGCCCATCTGTAGTATAAGCTAGGCAGTTGCAGTCACTCTAATCTCTCTAGATGACTGAGGTGCCAAAATGCACGCACCAGTCTGGTGGCCCTCCTTCGGACATTTTCAATCAACTGAATCTCTAGCATATCTTCGGGATCAGACGGGTTGACAGTACTCCAGGCGGGGAAGCACCGCACTCTTGAAGATCATTATGAAGGACGGACCATCTCGATATCTGAACGACCTTCTTATAAGACCAACTGGTTTAATTACTTGAATCACTTTCTTCTCACAATGGCCCCAAAACTTTATTTCATTGTTAACATGCCTATTAATGCAGTTTCTTCATCCTCTGGGACATGTGATACGCCAGGGACTGCCTGTATACTGTACTGCAAATTGTAATTTATCATAATAGGTTATATAAACCAATACTCCATCTTGGCAGAGATATGAACCTATGACCATTTGCTTATGAGGCTTATTCTCTACCAATGAGTTAGTCACATTGTGAATATTACTTTACAGTATTTCATGTACTGTACTTCATTATAAATACAGACTGAACTGCATTTCATTGTTTTAAGGTTTGAACAATAGTACTGTATTGCAATTATTGATTTTTGTCTTTCAGTCTACCTCAAGATTTACTTGATCTGAAGGCCCTTCAGCAGGAGATCCAACATCGCCATACAGAAACTACCAAACCAACATTCACCCATCCTGACACTAATGTATTTTGGAGACTCAACTATGATAGATTCCATATTGAATTTAGGTTGGTAACCAGTGTGTGTTTAATTATAAATATAAAAATATCACTTGGGAGTTTTTTCTAAGGTTTGCTACTACAAAAGTGCAATGACTGGTTATTTAAAAAGAAAATTTGCTATTAGGTGATTGTAAGAAGTACAGTTTCATCTGCTAATGGTTTTATTTTTACAATTAAAGTGCCAGTTATGAACAGATGCCCTCACATCGAGTCCAGGCCTTTTAGAGAGAAATTAAAAATAAGAGAATAGTATAAAAGTTTTTAGAAGCTGGAAAATTTTTATTCCAAGAATGACAGATTGTAGGTGAGAAGAGGTAAATATTTCCACAGTTTAGTTGCATAAGGAAAGGAAGAGGCTTTACAATGACCCACCCTTGAATTGCTAATAGACACCCAATATCAAGTGTTGTGTTAAGAGTGTCTTATTGAGTTTTTTTGTTGCTTACTTGATGGTGGGGGATAGATGCAGCCAACTCATGGGAGCAGAAACTATAAGAAATGAAAGGGATAATTAATAAGGTGAATCACTTTAAGAAGAGTCGGCTCTGGGACAGAAGTGTGTGGTGATAAAGCTTCAACAAATGTGAAAGCAATACTGTAGGGTTTATTGTACATTTATCCCCCTATTTACAATGGGGTTACATTCCTGAAAACCTATTGCTGGTCTAATTACCATAAACTAGGATCATTATAACATGGAGTTCAATCAGATACATTCCCAGCTAATCCAACACCTACTTGTATCACTAAAATAAATTCCTTCACTAGTGCACTTTCAACAAAATTAAACAACACTCACCACATCATTAAGAACAACCCTGGTCATCATCACATGTCCCCTTTGAGGCTAAGGGGACTCTTGAAGGTGGAGTGGAGACAACACTGACTCCCACACAACCTCCAGGCAGTCTCCTGCCGCTTTACACGTCAAGCTTCACCTCCAGACACGGTTTTTCTTCGTGCCCTGACTGCCTTCCCACACTTTCAAAGTTACACTGCTCACTTCACAGTCACAAAACAGAGTGAAAACACTGCTCATATCATGTTCACAACAGAGGCAAAGCACTTGCAGTAACAAAAATCAAAGCAAAAATCACTTCACAAACACCAAAACAGACTACAATGTGAACAGTAGTGATGTCCTTTTATTGTAAGGTAAAAAACAAAAAACAAAACCCCAATAATTTATAATCTCTGATCTACATGATCAATGCCATGTGCGGCCACCATGGAACAAATCACAGTACTGTAATGCACCAAGTGGCCATGTGTGGATAGACCGCACTTAACAAATGCACCAAAAGATGCGTCCGCATTGGTCGAGCAATGACCGCCGTTAATGCAGATTGTTTATATGGTAAATGGGGTGGTTTTAATGCATCACCACCGTTAAAGCGGAATATCGTAGATAGGGAGATCGTAAACCTGGGGTTACTTGTGCAAGAATGAGTCAGTTCTGCGCATAATTAAAGTATTTTTCAAGTAAGAAATATCATTCATCAGAACGATATTCCATATTTTTTTTTTTTTTTTTTTTTTAGTCAAATTCAGCTATTGAGTTTTATGGGGTTTCCAGGTAGGTTAAAAATTATATTGATGTTAAGTATATTTATTATGTTCAGTTGTGAAATTAATAAACTAGCTATCAAAGGAGACGAGAAGTCACGAAAAACTTTAGAGATTAATCGGAATAAATTTAGTATTAGGAGCAGTAAAAGCAATTTTTGTTATCTCAGAAAATATACAGTATTCTTAACAAATATGACATTACCTGTATTGGCATTGGACCACTCCTTATTTATCAACAATATTTTTTAATGAATGTTAGGGATTATGGGGAAACTTTCGTCGTGGCCTTCGACATCTCCAAGGCATTTGACAGGGTATGGCACAAGTCTTTGCTTTCTAAACTTCTCTCTTATGGTTTCTCTCCCCCATTTTGTTCTTATTTCTAGCTTCCTTGAGAACCGATCCATGGCAGTTATTGTCGAGGAATCGATCTCTAACTCTCTCTACCAATAGTGGTGTCCCACAGGGTTCTGTTCTTTCACCTACTCTTTTCCTTCTTTTTTTCAATGAATGACTTCATACTACAACTAATCCTATCCATTCTTAAGCTGATGATTCTACTCTTCACTCTTTTTCACATTTTCCCATTCCCCCTAATTCTCAAACTAGATCTGTTTCTAGAACTGATATCATCACATCTATCAGTGTGGATCTGTGCAGCATCTCCGAATGGGGAGGTAGTAACTTGGTTAAATTCAATAATAATAAAACTCAGTACAGTATTTACCAATTACACTTTCCAAATTAGATGATCTCCTACCAATCACATTTCAGGATGCAATCATTCTGCATATCTAAATTAGATATGCTAGGCCACACCATTTCTTCTAATATATTATGGAAGCCACACATCCACAACATTGCTAAAACTGCCTCCCGAAAGCTGGGAATGCTGTACAGATGCCGTAGCCGCTTCACTCCTGAGTAGTTGCTTCAAGTATATAAGGGATTCATTCGTCCTAACTTGGAGTACTTTTCTCATATGTGGGGTGGCTCTTCTTCTGTCCAACTGTTAGATAGGGTGGAATCAAAGGCATTTCGTCTTATTAACTCTCCTCCTTTTGTTGATAATCTTTCTTCTTTTTCTATTCACCGCAATGTTGCTTCACTGTCTCTTTTACGGGTACTTTAACAGGCAATGTTCGGTGGATTTGGCATCCTGTGTACTGCCGGCAAGGCCATGGGCTCGTAACACTCATCTTGCCTATGGTGCCCACCATTTCTCTGTGGATGTCGGTCACACTAGAATAACCCGTTATAGTACCTCCTTCTTTCCTCACACAAACAACTGTAGAATGCTCTGCTTTCTTCTGTGTTTCCATACTCCTACAATCTGTCTCGCTTCAAAAAGTTGGTTTTCCAGCATCTTCGTGGTGTAGATTAATAAAATCTTTCTTTTCTATTTTTAATCTCTTTTTCTCTTATTTTTACTCCCATTAGGCCCCATTGTGAGTTGACCTGTGCCCGGGTGGGCTATTCCCCGTAAAGAAAGAAAGAAAATAATAATAATAAATATTTTATTTCATTTATTACTCTGTGCCCTTTTTTCAATTTTATTTGAAAGCAGTGTCATTTGCCAGTCCATTGGAATCAATTTATGAACAAATGCTATTCCAAAGCATAGAAATTTGAATTATTGGAATTATAATAGACATTTCTTTTACAGTAGATAAGAATGGTTCTTTACTAAGTTTGGGAAATTGCAGGGACAGTGAAATTCGCAACAGCATTGTGAGACGAGTAGACCCCTTAGCAGGAGAGTGTCTTGGTGCTATGTTGAAATTGTCATACAAGGTGTCAGATCCTTGGGCTGCCATCATGAATGTTGTTACTGCAGCAGACATCAGGGATCAGCTCAAAGATCTAAAGTACCTTGATCAGTATTTCAAAATATTAGGTAAGTTATATTTGGATTATTCTTAGTGAGAGTAATTACTTTAAAAATATTTAAAGTTTTCTTTAGCATTGAATCTAGCTTAAATCACTGATACAGCATTAATAACACATGTTAATTAAACTTTTATTGTTATTTCTTCTGTCAGTTACCAATGGCTGAACAAACATACCAGTAACAGTTTTGCATTACATCTTCAAAAATTATATACTGTACTGTATATAATAAGTAATATTGTTAGTGTTTTGCCACATGTTTTGTTTATTTCTTATATATTGTGTATGGCACAATTAAGCCCATCGTTTCTTGTACATTACTTATTCTGTGATGTGCAGTAAATGTGTTTAGCAAATAGAAAATGACAAAATTCTACCAATGAGAAGGACAAAGGATAAAAGATTGTACAAAACAGTTGGTTCATACACAATGAGCTTAGATAGTGCATTGGGAGAGAAGGAACGATAAACTACTAGAATATGGTATTTTGATGAGAGGGCATGAAAATGTGAAAAGGATTCTGGTGTGCTTCTAAAATATTTAGTGGGATAATTGATATGACAAACTAAGCAGTGGAAAGGGGACAGATAGGGAATGGATAAAGTGTACTGTATTGTATATTGTTTGACGAGAGGTAATGCTTGGTGGCATAGAGGTAAATAAGTGGATAGAGGAGTAAATACGAACTCGGCATATTTTATGTTTTCCAGAGGAACAGAGTGGAGAATGTGTGCAGCGGGTTGGTGACGCCGGTGGTGGTCAGTACAGGCTCAATATGGCTAATGCATTCCAGTCCCTTACACACACTCTCATCTACAATATAGTGCAAGAAAGATTTGGCTCCAAAGCAGCTCGTATTTTTAGGTTAGTTTTACATGTACAGTAGATAAAAAGAAGTACCTGCATATTCTGTGTGAAAATACTATGAGACCACGGACAATAGGTATTGGGATTGTGTGTTGTCTCATTATACTATGTGATAGTGTTCCCCCTAACTGTTTATTTTATTCCTATATGGCAACCCGCTCTGTGTTGGATACTAAATGGCAGTGGGTGAAGACATTATCCCTCAGTTGTAGATATAATTTTGGAAGTCATTGGACTCACTCTGTCAATATTTTGTTTAGCTACTGTACAATATAATACATGGTACCATACACATTTAGAGTTTAATTTGTGAAAACCAAACAGAAGATTTGTATTGTTATATTTAGCACTTTTTAATAGGTATGCAGAGTTACTCTGAATAATGAATAGAAAAGAGGGGGGGGGGGTAATTTTTCAACAAAACGCTCATAAGATTAAATGATAGTTGGAAAGAGAAAAGATGACTTCCTTTTGTCCTTCATGATAGTGCTTCCTATGATGGACGAGACTCATACTCTACTACTCCGTATGACCTGCTTTCTTGTTGTCTTGTATCCACTATAGTTTACTGTTTTTCTTTGTTCCCTTTGTAAGCTAAACACATTATCCTTTTCCTTATTATAGCATCTTTTAGACTTTTATATTACTCTTGGTCTTCATAATTTCTCCTAATCCTGTTCCCCCGTTTTGGAAAATCCATCTTGGTCTTTTTCAATGTACTGTACTATTCATCCTCTGAACACCCTGTTTGACTGCAATTGAATGAATTATCAATACTGTACTGTACTATAGTATTTCCAAGCTAACCTGGCCCATATGCCACACCCCTTTTCTATACTAATACTGTAGCTGATTGGTTCATAGAAAATTCAAACTAAATCTGTTCACAATTGGTAAGCAGACCTGTAAGTATTACCTAATATAATGTTAAATATCAGAACTATCAAAATGCAAATGATTTCAAGGCATTAGCACTTCAGAGAGGTTGTTAGAAAATGTTAAATATTTATCATAAAAGGTCGACAGAAATACGACTGGGGGGGGGAGGTAAAATGCTCAGGGGAACCAATCAGCAATTTGTAGCTATAGACGAGGGGTGTGGCTTATGGGCCAGGTTAGTGTGGAAAGGGTATAATAAATGTGGCGTTCAACTTCTATCAATGTCTGGAGTGGGCCCAACTCGCGCTCTCCCGCATGACAGACACCACCCAGTAACACAATAAATTTTGTGTATGTTCGTAAAAAGTATTGTGCTAAAAAGTAAAACTTGTAAAGTGAAATAAATAGTCCCATAGGAAAACATGTAAAATGTGAGGGTTGCCTGTTTGAAAAAGATTATGTGTAACAAATATTTAGTTCTGCATTTTTTGCTTAATACAATACCTGTACTGTATTTATGAATGGAGGTAAATAAGATAAAAACTAGTAATACAAATGCTCTACAGTTAAAGCTAAAAAATCCAAGTGAAAACTCCTTAATGCTCAGTGTTAAATTTCTAGGGTTCACATATTTAAATAGTTATTGATCATTTAGGCTCTGTACTTGATTTACATGTTTAAATTAATGGTATTCACTTGTTTAAATCAATTAAAGCAGAATTACTTAGGTCACTTTAATAGTAACTTACTGTTAGCGAGAGACAGCTTTCAGAAAAAGTTTAGTGGAAAGAGAACCGTCATTTATTTTGAATATTAAGTTAATCACAGCTGCATGTATTCATTAGTTTAGGTTAAAGTATTATTAATTATGTTCACCTTTGCAGATTAATTCATAAAAAGCAAATGATGGAGCAGGATATGATTGGAGAAGTTAGCATGATTGGTAAAAAGGAAGCAAACCTGCTCTCATATCGCCTACTCCATGATAACTTCCTACGCATACACGAGCTCCGTAAAACACTGACTCCATCACCTGCAAACAAAATCATTTATCTCTTTCATGTTGATATAAATTCAGTAAGTAAATGGGATATATTAGATTTTTTTTTTTTTAACCAGGCAAAGTATTGACTCTTCAGTATCTTTTTTACATAACTTAACTTAACAACTAAAAGCACAGTTTTAACATCAAGTGATTTATTGTTATCCTTCATGATGAGTGGATTCATAAGTAAAACTTGTTGGTACTGTACTGTATTATCTGAATCATTGTTCATGCTTTCATTAGAGGGTGTGAGGATGGATAAAATTATGTTGAAGGAAATAATTGCAAATAAAGGGGAAATGTAGATATGTATTGATAGGGATGTAGGTAGGATGGTGACTAAAATTGGCTGGATTGTAGGAAAAGCAGTGTACCTCTATTTTGATAGATATGAGTGGATGAGTAACATGATATTTACTGTGAACTGGTTTTGTGTCCAACCAATATTATCCAACATATTGACTTTGTACATTACACCATGAACTTCAGATAATAGTACCGTTAATTCTTCTTTTAGGTTGTACGTATGGTACTCGAGTGGTGTTATAAAAGTATGTATAACCTGATAGTGCAGAGAGAAACAAGGGGTACCGACAACCGCCGCTTGTTAGAGAAACGGACCAGGGTGGACTCTATTGTGGAAAACCTGAAGCAGTCAGGAGGTACTGAGGAACAAATTCAGGAGGTGAGCAATTTTTAATGTAGGCTGTTGTAGGTAACTACAATTACAGTACTTCATTAAGGGCTATGATTCATTCTAGATGTACAATATTATGATAATTATAGTAGATAAAATGTATTTTAAAATTCTTGGCTTCTGGCTATTCTTTAAGTGCCTACAAATAGGATTATACAGTGTAGTGCAGCGCTTCTCAAACTATCTGATGTGGCGGACCGGCATGGTTTTTTTCAGTGTGCCACGGACCGGCGAGCGAAGCGAGCCAATCCCGGGGCCTATAGCCCCCCCCCCCCAGGAAAATCTTTTGAGATATGTCCTATTTCAGGGGCATTTTGAGACTATCTGTACTAAACATGAAGACATGATGTCTTATTCATTCTAAGGCCAATCATCATTGACGTAACAAGTCTTCCCAGTGTGCCAGGGACCAGTACCATATTTGTGCCATACAATTAATTGTTTACGATCAGAGAAAATATTATTTGAACATTCGTAGTAATATTATTTTATACAGGAAAAATATAATGAATACAAAAGCTGACATTTTTTATTTTATATTGATTTTGTAAACAACTTAACACAGTAATAACAATTACACAATAACACAATAATAGGCATGTTAAAACCTTAACCTTTACTAATGTGAAATATGAGCCTGCTTCTTCTTTGTCAGCTTAACCAATCGTGGTTCAATTGAGGACAGTGCCACGCGCAATGGAGAATGAATATCCATACTATTCCTGTACTTTGTCTTAATGACACTCATGGTTGAAAAGCCAGTTTCGCAGAGGTATGTTAAAGGAAATGGGAGAAGAGTTTTCAGAGCAATTTCAGTAAGCTCAGGATATTCTGCTTTCACTTTTATCCAAAAGGAACCAAGTGATGTATTAGTTTCGAAACTCATCTTCAATCCTTCGTCAGCAGCCAGCTCCAACAATTTATCCTCCATAGTGACACTTGGGTCATCTCTCAATGACATAAACGGATTTCGGATCCATTCATTCCCTTTCCGTGGATCTTCTTCTGCTGGAAAGTAATGCTGAAAACGTTCTGCCAAATTCGTCAAGTGTTCTCTGATGACAATTCGTAGAGATGTAACATTAAGGCCTTCGCCTGCTTCGGCGATGACTGTCGCTAATTGGTGAAACATGTCATAACAATCTCTTGACACTCGACTCTTCCATGCTTCAGGCTTTCGTTTTTGTCCGTCGATCTTGTCTGCCATTGTAAAACTCGAAGCCAAAACTCGAAGCCATCCTTCCCTGCATGGAGGTGTTGAGATCATTAAAGATGGCAAAGATATCAGCCAAATAAGCCAGCTTGGCTAGCCAATCCACATCTCGAAACAATTGTGACCAATTTGTTTTTTTGTCCTGAAGAAACTCGGCAAGCTCGTTTCGTAGCTAAAGTACTCTTGACAGGACTTTTCCTCTCGATAACCAACGACATCGCATGCAATAGAGCAGTATTAAAATGTTCTTAGTAATGTAACATTAATAGAGTAACTAATAAGTAGATATGATAAGTTGAAGGCAATGATATAAAATTAATTTTACAAAACAGATACAAAATTGGAAAATGCTAAGCGCCGGTCCCACAATAATTTTTTGTTTTTCAACTTTACACAGGAATAGTGTGAACCGGCCTTTAAGATTATTAGTACTTACATTTTCAGATCAGTGGGTTGGGATGGGGTCCCAAATGACAAACACGCAGATACCCGTATGATGCTCTCTGTTCCACTTCTTGATGGTAACTAACCACTGACCTGTGACCTGACATCACAGACTGCTGATCCACACGTGTGTAATAGCAGGGTTGCCAGCTGTGTGACACCCTTCACGGCTGGCACGCATAGTAAAAAATCGGCCATTTCTTTTAATGGGATGCATACATTTATTTTATCCGAAATTAAATAACTACCATACTTAAAATAAAAAGATTTATGTTTTGGGTGGATATGGCGTAACTGGTGGCCGAGAAACGTGGCAATTCTGGCAACACAAGGTGATGCGCCCTATTGATATTCCCAGGTGTGGTTCCCACAGAGTCAAACGCCACATCATCATGAAGGTGTTGTTATACGTATTTCAGTTCGCTGTTCGTTATATCGCATTCGTTAGTTGCATAGCAATGACTTTTAACATGAGTGAGTAAATGAAAAATATAGTCATAATAAATATAAAAACTACAATGAAAATGTAAAAAAAAAAAGACTGAGTCAGATGTCCCGGCAGTGTCACGTGTCTATCGTTTCTTTCTTTTCTGAAAATTCTCCGCGTACCGGCAGACGATGGCTCACGGACCGGCACCGGTCCGCGGACCACACTTTGAGTAGCACTGCTGGTGTAGTGTATATACTCGTGTGTATATATATATATATATATATATATATATATATATATATATATATATATATATATATATATATATATATATATATATATATATATATATATATATATGTATATATATATACGCGAGTATCTAAGGGGTGCGGCCACCTCTGGCTGGTAACGTTTAGGACAGTGCTACTCAAAGTGTGGTCCGCGGACCGGTGCCGGTCCGTGAGCCATCGTCTGCCGGTACGCGGAGAGTTTTCAGAAAAGAAAGAAACAATAGTCACGTTCCACACCACGTGACACTGCCGGGACATCTGACTCGGTCTTTTTTTTTTTACATTTTCATTGTAGTTTTTTTATTTATTATGGCTATATTATTCATTACTCACTCATGTTAAAAGTCATTGCTATGCAACTAACGAATGCGATATAATGAACAGCAAAACAGCGAACTGAAATACGTATAACAACACCTTCATGATGATGTGGCGTTTGACTCTGTGGGAACCACACCTGGGGATATCAATAGGGCGCATCACCTTGTGTTGCCAGAATTGCCACGTTTCTCGGCCACCAGTTACGCCATATCCACCCAAAACATAAATCTTTTTATTTTAAGTATGGTAGCTATTTAATTTCGGATAAAATAAATGTATGCATGATGCATCCCATTAAAAGAAATGGCCGATTTTTTACTATGCGTGCCAGCCGTGAAGGGTGTCACACAGCTGGCAACCCTGCTATTCCACACGTGTGGATCAGCAGTCTGTGATGTCAGGTCACAGGTCAGTGGTTAGTTACCATCAAGAAGTGGAACAGAGAGCATCATACGGGTATCTGCGTGTTTGTCATTTGGGACCCCATCCCAACCCACTTTTATATTCATTATATTTTTCCTGTATAAAATAATATTACTACGAATGTTCAAATAATATTTTCTCTGATCGTAAGCAATTAATTGTATGGCACAAATATGGTACTGGTCCCTGGCACACTGGGAAGACTTGTTACGTCAATGATGATCGGCCTTAGAATGAATAAGACAT